TTAGGCCTTTACGAAAGGATAGGAGGGTTGGGGCCCACCTCACATTGGAGGGGGGGGGCAAGATGTTCCAGAGGGCAGGAGCAATAGCAGAGAAGGCCCTGCTCTGGACCCCGTCAGTTGGAATAATGAGACTCCCAGGACTCACAGCATGCCTCCTATATTGGCATAAATGGGACAGGCCAGTGCGGTGAGATGTTCCCTCAGGTAACCTGGACCCATGCTATGAAGGGCTTTAAAGGTGATCACCAACACCTTGAATTGCACCTGGAAACAGACTGGGAACCAGTACAGCTCGTGGAGCAGTGGTGTTACAGGAGCCATTCTTGGGGGGCCCAAAACTGCCCACACCACTGCACTTTGTACCAGCTGTAGCTTCCAAATGTTCTTAAAGGGTAGTCCCATGTCGAGCTTATTACAATTGTTCAATTGTGAGATGACTAGGGACTGAAACATTGAGTGCAGGGAATCAATCAATTGTTGTTAATTGAAGAGCATTTGACCACTATAGCCCTGGTGGCGCAGTGGTTAGAATGCAGTACTGCAGGCTACTTTTGCTGACAGCAGTTCAGCAGTTCGATTCTCACCGGCTCAAGGTTGACTCAGCCTTCCATCCTTCCGAGGGCGGTGAAATGTTGGGGGCAATATGCTGACTCTGTAACCTGCTTAGAGAGGGCTGTAAAGTACTGTGAAGTGATATATAAGTCTAAGTGTCGTTGCTATTGCTATGGCAAGAGATAGAAATAAAGAGGATTGGGAAAGAAGAAGGGGGTCTGGTCAAAGCCTCTTGGAGGATGAAGTTCACGAAATGTATTCTGCGTTTTTCAACAGCTCCTCCGGGAAAGTATCCCAATGGCTTCAGAGATGTCCTGCGAGAGCTTGTTCGAGAGGAAGGAGTGATGTCTCTATACAAGGGATTCAGTGCTGTGATGATCAGAGCTTTTCCTGCCAATGCAGTAAGCAAATACTTTGACTTCTGGTTCATTTGTTTATTTATTAAATTTACTGACTGCCCATCTTACCCCAAGGTAACTCTGGGCTGTTTATAATACAGGGTAGTCCTCGGCTTACAACAGTTCATTTAGTTACTGTTACGGCGCTGTAAAAAGTGGCTTACGACCATTTTTTCACACTTATGACCCTTGCAGCATCTGCGTGGCAATTACTCATATTTATGACGATTGCAGTGTGTCCTGGGATCATGTGATCCCCTTTTGCGACCTTCTGACCAGCAAAGCCAATGGAGAGGCCAGATTCATTTTACTAACTTAACGACTGCCAGATTCATTTTACAGTCATGTTACTGCACATAACAACTGTGGCAAGAAAGGTCGTAAAATTCACTTAACAAATATGTCACTTAGCGACAGAAATTTCGGGCTCAATTGTAGTTGTGAGTTGAGGACTATATGTGGAAAGAAGATAACATTTTACCAAACCTAAACACAGTAGGAACAAAATAAATAACCCAAAATAAATACACAACCCTAACTAAAAGATCAGAAGAGCGGGAGTAGAATGAATGGGTGGGGGAGGGGGAGGGAGAGATCCATTATTAATCTGTCAACCAGCCCCAACATGAAGCCTTCTCATTGGAACTCCAAGCCAGCTGACAGAACCAGGTCTTTAAACTCTTGTGGAAGGTCAGGAAGATTGGAGCTGACCTCCCTTCTGAGGTAATCTGTTCCAAAGATCAGGAGCAAAGGCAGAGATGGCTCTTCTCCTGTTAAGAGTTAAGACAGAAAAGTAAGAAGCTAAAGCCTCCCGACAGATCCTCTGGAAAACACTTTATTTTTTATCCTTCTAGCCAATTTTACATCGAAAGTATAGTACCTTTAGTTGGACTTCTGTATTTGATTTACAGGTTTCTTCAGTTCCATTAGTTGAATTTAGAAGCCATTTCTGTCATTCAAGCAACTGTAGCTAATGTACAGCAATACTAAAACAATGAAATAAGTAGGAAACAGTAATAAATCAACAACACGCTTATTACAGATCGTCCTCATTTAGTGACCACAATTTGGACCAGCAGCCCGGTCATTAAGCAAAGTGGTTGTTGAAAGGACGTAAGATCCAGTGGAAACTCCTTGCAGACAACTGTAAAAGCTGACTGTCATTAATTTTTTTACGTAGAATTCAGCATCCTCATGCATACTATTCTGGATGATTCCCCAGTCTTCTAAAGCAGCTTTTGAAGAAACAGACTGCCAGACTGATATTTTTTTTCCTTCCTTCCTCTCCAGCAAGTTTCCTTTGAGCAATGTTCCTCTTGACTGAATGCCTAGCTATTATATATGCCCATGCAATATATTTATTGGAGGTTAATGTTGAAACAGCCCCATTTTGTTGGTATTGTATCTATTAATTAAGCAGAGTAATTCATGCTGTGAAACAGCACATTATTAATGAAAATTCTTCTATAGGAAAAAATATATAAAATATTCCACAAAAAAATGTGAATTTATGTCTTTACTTAATATGTATTTTTTTTTCAGGCATGCTTCCTTGGCTTTGAACTTGCCATGAAGTTTCTTAACTGGATGGCACCAGGTTTTTGATGATTGAAAAGTACGTTCTTAAAGGAACTCGAGGACAAGGAAAAGAACAGCGGTAATTGCATTGGAGGAGAAAATCAGAATTATGAAATAAGCTATAAAGTGACTCATTTTTTATTAATCTTTTTGCCTTACGCTTTCTGGGTGGTGCCCTTTTGCCGTTTGGAATTTTGAGCCAAATCTCCTTCTGTGGAGAAATTCAAGAGGAGTTCACAATCACACACTTGCCTTCTCAATTCAAAAGTACCAAAGTGGTTATGCTGTTGATAGAACATCTTGCTGCTATTAATAGATATCAATGTTTAATTTTTACTCCTCATTTTCCTGTGATGAATAAAGGAAAATGATTTTAATTTCCCTTTTTACATTAACAAAAAAATGCAGTGCTGGTTATGGCACTAAGGACATTCCAAGAAGTCATGGGGTGTTTGGAACTGTCCATATTGTATTTAATTCTCAGGACGGAATTTAAGTAATAGATACACTGATATAGAACATTTGATTGCACTTACATATGTTTGGTGCTATTTGCCATGGTTTCTTGTTAGTTCCTGTGGAATGAATGGGAATATCTGAACAGTTTTGTATTTCTGTTCAAGCCTTATTTACTGTAGTAGGCCTTGCATATACAACACAATTGTAGTATGTTTTGACCATATAAGCCTCCCTTTACTGCCTTATGGTCTCTGACCCAAAGTCTATGGCATGCAATTGCTTCTGTGACATAATTAATATAAAAAGAAAGCCAACTAGAAGAATAATGCAAACATTAAAGAGCCTTGAAGTCACCAAATATAAATAAATATTAAATTAGTGAAGATCTGCTATCTGTTTGTGTATGATGAAAAACCTCAAATAAGTGAATAGCAGAAACGGGGGTAAATCCCAATCATTATGGCTGGAATGGGCAGTCAATATAAAAATGCCTTTCTTTAAATTCAGCTTTGGTCCTTTCTGGATAACTAATGATATCTTGAGAGGCAGCTTTACAAGAGATGGACAATCTTGTATATGGCACACCAGAATATGTATTTTGGTATTCCTGGTACCTATGTTAGGAATGTATTACAATAGTTTCAAAGCAATTTGTGTGCCACCCTAGCAAGCTTTTAAAGTTGGAGGAGCCTGCAATAGGATAACTAACTACAATGCCAGTCTGTTTTAATGTGATCCTCTTGTACACTCATAAATGGGCTTTTAAGTGCATCCCATGTACAAGGACAATAAACAATGTTTACAAAATGTCTCAATGGAACATGCTTAGGACCCAATAAAAGTTGCGTATTGGTTTTCTTGTTTGTTTTGCATCTTGAAATAGTTATATCAGTACTGGAAACATGTCACAGCATTCTGGCAATTTGAAGAAAAGAGCCTTTATCAATGGGAAGGGGCTGAGATATTTGTTAAATTGTATGTGTGAGTCCAGCAACAAAAAGTTGCAGAGTGCAGTGTTCATAAAAAGCTTCAATTTTTTATCCATTTTAGAAGGATGTTCAATGCATTTCCATCTTAAATGGACACTTTGGGGAATTACCTCAGTTTTCCCAAAGTATCTGTTTCAACTTAATTGAAATATGCAATTGTTCCGCTATGTAAGGACAGTCAGATTTTCCAAACATCAAAAGAGAGTCGTTGAATGCAATGAATTTTAGTTCTACATTCAATGAAGTATGGTTTGGTTAAGTTTGGTTCTACCATACATTATAATGGGATAATTTAGTGAAGGGAAAAGTCTCTTGTCCTCAGTCCAAATGCCATTCTTTTATGGCTCTTCCTTCAGACAGAAAGAAGGAAAGAAGAATTATGTGATGTCAGGATAGTGGAACATGAACTCTGGTGGACCAGGATCAGTTCATTTATGGTGGTACATTTTGTGTCAGCTATTGCACTTTATGAGAGAAAAGTCTGGAGTTCTGATTCTTTCTACAAGGAGCATTTTGAAAGGAAGGGTGCAAAGTTTATGGATGGGCCTCTATAAGTTGTCCCAAAAGTGCTTTTTTAAAGGGCTACTGGACTTCCTTAGTTTTTCCTTTGAAAAAAGCACCTTTGGGACAACCATGACCTGGATGACTGGGAATCTCCATAGACCTGCCTCTGTAGGTTTCTCACTGCATTCATGTATCAGTCCATTATTGATTCTCTTGAAAACGCAGGAAGAGGATAGTCTTCTCTTGGCATGGATGTTGGATTTATTGTTGACTGAGAGACTCGTTTGTTTTGCCTGAGATAGAATGACTGTGTTGATAAATAAGTGACTGACTACTTATTTATTGACCATCATTGCTGTTAATTTCTCCTTGGTTTTTTATATTCAAGATCAGGGGTCTTCAAACTTGGCCCTTTTACGACTTGTGGACTTCAATTCTGGCTGAGGAATTCTGGGACTTGAAGTCCACAAGTCATAAAAGGGTCAAGTTTGAAGACCCCTGCTAAAGATAATCTGAAATCGCTTTTCTCAAAAACACACCATCTACTGTGTCAAATAAGGAGAATGAAGCCTGCACTTCTGAATTTATGAAATACCAATAGCTGGCTTTGAAATGCCATTCCTGTATATAGTTTTTCAATTGGGGGGGGGCTCTTTTAAAAAAATGAATAAGTTACCTCACAATGCCCAATATTAGCATGATTAGACGGTAGTTAGTCATTGTCTCATTATGTAAGCTGAAGTACTGAATTGGCTCTCTCTGCAGTGTACTGCACCATTCAATGCTTAGCTCATCTAGAAAGATGAGTAATTCATTCCCATTTTAAGAACAGCAAATAGGAGCTTTCTGGGGGTAGGCTGAAGTCCAGCTCAAGTTTTAGAATATACCTTAAGTGTCTTATTTTAGTTAGAAATCTTTGTGGTACAGGATTTTATTAATTTGATCTGGATTTATTGACCCTGAACAAAATATGGCTGGGATGACTATGCGTTGGAAGAGTTTCTTCAACAGTAGCAGTGTTCACAGTCAGTATTCTATGCAGCTGAACTGAGCTGCCCTTTACATTGGTCGCTATGCGTCTGACACAAACCCATAAAGCACATATTACACAAAGCCATTGGTGGGCTATATTTGGTTTTAGTCTAACATATCCTGCTAACTTTAACCCCTGTGGTTTTTTCAATATGGTTAAATAAAGCTTAGAATGCTGTGTGGACTCAGTCATTTAATCCAACAGGAATTCCAAAGAAAATAAATTATCTGTCTCCTTTTAGCTTAGCAAGGTGTGGATTCAGCACAGATCAGTTGATCTTGGTGCAACTGAATTAATCTGAAATTCTATTCTTCACTCAATTTAGAACAGGCATGTCAACTCGCGACATCATGTGATGTCGCGCAACATATCACGACTTTTCCCCCCTTGCTGGCAATGAGGTGGGAACAGTTTTGGCATGACGCATCCGGCCTGTAGGCCGGCAGTTTGACATGCTTGATTTAGAGCATAGCTGTAACTCTCATGTAAATCAGCTAATAATTCATATTATTAATCCATTTAACTTACATGCTCAAGTGTAATTATAGGTGTCTGGTGGAAGGGAGGACAAGAATTATAAAAATGCTTATACTTCCCTACTATTAGGTTGCATTTTTTATTAAAGTCTTATACATATGCACATTAGAACAATCTTTAATATTTACTCCAAATGAACATATACTGGTACATTGCTAAGCAAAGAGTATCAGATGGTCTTGTCAAACATTAAACAGAAATTACCATTTCTTGATTCATGCCTTTTTTTCTCTTAGTTTTATTGAAACAAATATCTTCAGGTACAGCTCCAGGCAGTTGAAAAATATATGTAAAAGAAAGTGGGAAAAATTCTATAATTCTATTTTATGTCTAATAGCAGAAATACAGTTTTCCTAAATTAAAAACTTCTGACAGGTGAAGACAGTTTTCATCTTGTAAGATACAGAATAAAGTAAAAATATAGTAACATTCAGGCTGCTTTTTAATCTTAATCCTGGAAATCTAATGTTTTCTAGGGAAAAAAATGAAGTAAACCTGCATCTAACTAATTTCTGCCTATCATGCAGTTGTCAAAAGATGTTGAATCCTGCTGAGGTGAATGATATATATTCATAATGTTTTCCTACAAAAGAGCAGACATATTTGTCTAGTCTGATGAACTGAATTAAAGTATAGTGATGTCTAGTAGAGTTATGCTTCGGCCCAGGGGAATATGTAAATGTGGTGATAGCTACAGTCGACAGTTCATTCCTTTTTTCTGGGATTAACAACTATGTGATCTACGGTAGGAAAATAAGTGGCTGCTTTAAGAAGCTGTAGATGTGTCCCAGATTTTCCCTGCATGTTTCTGCTTTCACATCCAAAGCCCTGTCTGCAACTCTATTAAATTAATAAGATGGTCTGATAAGAGACTGAAGAACACAATTTCACAATGGGGTGTTGGAATGTTGCTGTTCCATTCCACATGTCATTTATATGCTCTTAATTGTAAGACTGAGTTAGGAAAACCAGCAAAATAGCCCTAAGCAAGACTCATAAAATCATGCCTTAATGGCTGAAGTCTTGATGAGCAAACTGATTTGGGGCACAATTGCTGAAAAGAAAAGCAGTTGTTTGAAGGTGGAGTAAAGAAGACTTAAAAAGTAACTTAAGGGGGGGGGCCTAGCCATTAATGCAGTTAATTAGAAAGTTATCTGCACCATCTGGATTCTACCAGGTGCGTTCTTGTATGTAACATTCAGCTTATTTCATCCCAGGACACTAAGTGGTATCAACACTGTGAATGCAACTAGATCAATAAAATATGAAATGGTTGTCAAAAGTCTGCTATTTCCACATATTGCAGTATTCACCATATCTGGGCAAAGGAAATTCTAGTTAAGGATGATAGGTCTGAACTTTGCAAAGGATCCAGTTTCAAAAAGTTGCTGTCCATCAAATGCTACTTAGTCATGAGGAGGATTGGTATCTCTTATTGTGAGCTGGATCCAGCCATTTCTTCTCATTCCTGGAGCACTCCTTGATGGAAGGACCAAATCTGTCTTTACTGTTTAAGGAAGAAAGACAAAATTTGATATGATGTGCATGCTCACCCTGATGTCTCCATAGCAACCAAAAAATCCACAAAGAAGCTGAGAGTCATTGCTTAGCAACATGAGGCTGTTGACTCTTATTTGCTACTTCAGTTATTAAATAAGAATCTGCTGGGATCTTTGGACTCCTCACTGGAATGTAGGATATAAAACAGTGAAGTCTAAGAAGACTGCATATGGTGGAGGAGAAGTTTGCATTGTAGGTATGTCATGATTGAAAAATCCACCATATTTAAAAACTGTCCCATCGGTTGTCAGTATTGTTGTTTTAATCAGTGTTGAATAGGCATTTGCATATCAGCTACAATGTTTGTTTGTTTTTGAAAAGGGGGTCAGCTATTTTCCAAAGCACCAAAGGCAAGACAAGAGGCAGTGGATGGAAACTAATCAAGGAGAGAAGAAACCTAGAACTATGGAGAAATTTCCAGACAGCAAGAACAATTAATCAATGCAACAGTTTGCTTTCAGACGTTTTGGGTGCTCTATCACTAGAGGTTTTTAAGAAGAAATTGGACAGCCATTTGTCTGAAATAGTATAGAGCACGGGTGTCAAACTGCCGGCCTGTGGACCAGACGCGTCATCCAGAAGCCACACCCACCCCATTGTCGGCAATGGCAAAATCAGCCCGATACATTGCGCAACGTCACGTGACGTCGCGAATTTGACACCCCTGGTAAAGGGTCTTCTGCTTGAGCAAGGGGTTGGATTATAAGACCTTCAAGGTCCCTTCCAACTCTGTTATTCCGTTCTGTTGTATTGTAGTAGTTACTTATTAAGAAAGTGAATGTTGCTTAAGGCTCTAACCATTGTTCCTGATCCTGACAAACTTTTCTCTCTGGCCTATTGTGAAAACACATCAGGTTGGCTGGAACAGGACTTTTCCAATGGAGGCTACAATTGATTGAAATATCCAATTTCCCCTTTCTCCCCTACCTTGCACCCTCAAACCAATCATAATCTCATTTTTATTCCATCAAGCTTTACTCATTTTATTGCTTACTTCCTATGTGTTTTATTAAATGTGATTAAAAGGGATTACTTACTAGTTTACATTTTTTTAAAAAAAAAAATGGAACAATTAAAAATTGAGAACAAAATGCACTTCAAAGAGAACACTGCTCAATCTTTTTGAAAGGGAAATGTAAACCAAAGTAAAATAGAAAGTACAAAATGTATGAGGTTCTCTATCTATACAGTAATACTTACAAAAATGGAAGAAAACTGTTATTCCTACAGTATGAATTGCTATGTTTTGTGGGCTATTGTCTCCATTGTTGTAGTTTACTAGGCCGTCTGTCACAAAACAGAAATGTTGACCGATCTTTTTCTGTTCAGGAAAAAGGGAAGCATCTAATTAATCATAAAAATCTCAGAGTGAAAGCCTTGTTCACTAAATAGAATGAGTGTTCCGAAATGCTTTTTAGGAAATGCAGGAAATTTAAATCTTATGTACAAGTAGTCCTCAACTTACAACAGTTCATTTAGTGACAGTGCAAAGTTACAAGGGCACTGAAAAAAGTGACTTTTTCACACAACGGTGTTGCCTCCCCATGGTCACATGATCAAAATTCAGATGCTTGGCAATTGGTTCATATTTACGACAGTTGCAGTGTCCCAGGCTCATATGATCACCTTTTGCAACCTTCTGACAAGCAAAGTCAATGGGGAAGCCAGGTTCACTTAATAACCATGTTACTAACTTAACTGCAGTGATTCACTTAACAACTGTGGGAGAAAGGTTGTAAAATGGGGCAAAACTCACTCAACAAACGTTTCAGTTAACAACAGAAATTTTGGGTTCAACTGTGATCATAATTCAAGAACTACCTGTATTAAGAGACCTCCTATAGAATGACAGTGTCAACGCTGCTAACATCGGATGTTCTTGCTTTGACAATACACAAAAATGCAGATATTTTCTATTTAACCTGTTTATTACTTTTAGAGTTAGAATTAGATGGTGCTGGAGGGGAGGGGGAAGAATGTGCATGAGAATTAGCCATAACAATATCTCAGAGTATTCTTCAAGGTTGTTTGTAATAAGAGGAGATAAGAAATGGCAGTTATGCAACTGGAGGGAAAGTTCGCACTTCAAACTAATTGGAGAATGTGATTAATAACTCTTAAATGAAGGAGTGAATTATGCTTAGATACTATGTGTTTAGGGGAGAATTCAGATTTTGGCTTCGCCTATCTACGTGCTGAAGCTATGTTTTCTCATTAAAGATTCTTTAAGGTAAACAATGCCTCAAAGTTCTTTGAAAAGTTTCTTACTTTGGAACCATGACAGACAGGGCATAGTGAACACATACTGAACACATCCATTCCTAGTTTATTTTTGCTGAGTTCAGTTCCTTACTTATGCTGTCAGAAAGTTCATGAAAATTCTGCTAGGCAGAAAATTAAATGTAGATAGATCAACAGTGTGAATTTAAGTCAACTTCATTTGGCTTAATTTGGTGGGAGAAAAGGTTACTTCTGAAGCAAGGGTGTTCAAGATCCCTAGAGAATTAATCTTGTCTTAATCCCTAGAGAATTAATCTTGTCTAAATCCTAACTCAGGAGTCTTCAAACTGATGTGCATGCAATTGCCAAGCCTGGCTGAGGAATTCTGGGAGTTGAAGTCCACAAGTCATAAAAGGGCCATGTTTGAAGACCCCTGGACTAACTGATTTGGCAATAATCTTGGATCAGATCACGCCTGTGCAGATTGTCTGTATCTTTGGATCCTGGAACCTCCCTTGTTTTTTAGAAGAACTGAAATGAAACCATGCAACTGATGCCTAAAGAAGTGCTTATGAAGGAAGACAAAGAGAACAATTCAATCTAACCCTCCTTTAGGTGGGAAGTTTATTGAGAGGGTGGTTTGCTTCTCTGAAAGACTATTTGGACCATTTTCAGTCTGATTTCAGGTCGGGTTGCAGTATTGCTCATGCTTGCGGATAATCTCTGGAGGGCTTTGGATGAGGATGGCCACCCATTTTTGCCTTCCTGGGTCTCTTCCTGGTGTTCCATAACATTCATCGTGGTTTCCTTCTGAAATGGCTTAGGGCAGGGATAGGCAACCTTGGCCCTTTTATGACTCGTGGACTTCAACTCCCAGAATTCCTGAGCCAGTATGGCTCAGCTTGGAAACCTCTCCCTTTCCCCTCAGCATGGCTGGCTCAGGAATTCTGGGAGTTGAAGTCCACGAGTCATAAAAAGCCAAGATTGCCTACCCCTGGCTTAGGGGGTTAGGAGGAGATGGAGGGATAATGGTTCTGCTCCTTCTGGTGCCAGTTAGTGTTGATGGAGATGAGTTCTCACCCAAGGCCCCAGAGTTTGGCACTCTCTCTGCTCCTATTTAACATATACATGAAGCTGCTGGGTGAGGTGAACTGTCAGGGTGAGGAAGTGTCTAGACAGGTCCTTTTAGAAGGCCACTCATGATGTTGCTTCTATTTCAGGAGATGAAAGAGGTAGTTAAACTCCAGAAACACTTTTACCCCTGATTGGATGACAGTCCAATTAATCAGGGTAGGTAGACAATTTGCCTGAAATGTCCTTATGGCTGTTTCCTACTCAAATTGCCTCTTCCCTCTCTGATGACTTTCAGGATTAGTTGACTGTATTGAAATATTGCCACAGGATGTATTTTTCATTAAATAAACTCTGAAATTCTGAAAAATGAAAGTGTTGCATCATAAATATATTATTTTTCTACTGGAGCATAATAGGACAGGGCAATAGACATAACATTAAAGATGCTGTGGATTTAAAACATACATTACTCATCAAAAAAAACCCCACAACTTTGGGGGTTACTTGATTTCTTTCCAGACTCAATTCAGAGGGCTTATTTAAGTCTCTGTAATTCTCAAGATCCAGAAGAAAATCACAACCTGTAGGGAGAATTAAAACTGACATGATTGAACAATCATACCGTATCTGATGAAGGAAGCAATGAGTGGTATCTTCCTGGGCTCCGTTCCAAGACTTGGCTTAACATATGATTATCAAATTTGTAGGACAGAGATGTCCTACAGAGGATAACAAGCACTTTAGAGGTCAAGATCAAATTGAAGAGGAACTTGCCAAACTGAAACTTGCCAAAATGAGTTTCAACAGAGATAACAGAGTAACAGAGCTGGAAGGGACCTTGGAGGTCTTCTAGTCCAACCCCCTGCTCAAGCAGGAGACCCTCTACCACAGGGGTGTCAAACTGCCGGCCCATGGGCCGGATGCGTCATCTCAAAACTGCGCCCACCCCATTGCCGGTAATGGAGAAAAAGCTCCGATACGTCACGCGACGTCTTGTGACATCACGAGTTTGACATGCCTGCTCTACCATTTCAGACATGTGGCTGTCAAATCTCTTCTTAAAAACCTCCTGTGATGGAGGGAAGGTCCTACAGTTAATAGGAAAAAGAAATGGGCCTTGGTTGAGGAGACCTGCGGGTCGTGGGGCATCACAAGTTCAAATGAGCCAATTGTATACAGGTAGTCCCCAACTTACAACCATTTGCTTAGTGACTATTGAAACTTAACAATGGGCACTGAAAAAAGTGACTTAGGACCAGTCCTCACACTTACAACCGTCACAGCATCCCACGCTCACATGATCAAAATTTGGGCGCTTGGCAAAGGGCATGTGTTTACAATGGCTGTAGCGCCCTGTACCCCGGTAATCACCTTTGGCAACTTCCCATCCGGCTTCTTACAAGCAAAATCCAGGGGAAAAATGTTTCCCTCACTGCCTGCCATGATTTGCTTAACAAGCATGGCAAAAGGTTGTAAAATCAGGCGTGACTCCTTTAACAACCACCTTGCTTAGCAACAGAAATTCTGGTTCCAACTGTTGGTTGTAAGTCGAGGACTATCTGTAATGCAGCCACCCTCCAAAACTTTAGCTGCCTTAACAGAAGAATTACGTCAAGAGAAGATGATTCCTCTCAACCATCTGGCCAGTCTATACCTAGAATATTTTATTACACAGCATTTTAGCAAAGGCACTGACAAACTGAAGCGTTTGCAGAAGAGATAGACCAAGATAACAAGAGGCTGAGAAATAAATACTTAAAAAGAACAATTAAAGGCAATAGGTACGCTTAGATTGCAGGGAGCCACGATTATTTTCTTCAGATGTCGGAAGGCCTGTCACGTTGAAGACAGAGCAGAATTGTCCCAGTTTGATAGGAAACGGTAGATATAAACTACATGGAATAAATTTCAGCTGGGTATTAGGAACCAATAAGAGACATTCTACAGTAGTACTGGCCAGCATAGGATCTCTTTCATGAAAGTAATTTAACCAAAGCTCTATGGACATCTGTTGAGGATGCTGTGGCAGCAATTCCTGCAATGAGCAGCAGCTTGGATTAAATGATTTCTCTCTATATTCTAGGATAGTGATGGCGAACCTTTTAGAGACTGAGTGCCCAAAACCTGGCCCCGCCCCTGCTCCACCCCCATTCTGCCCCCCATCTCCTGCCCCGCCTGCCTGCAGGGCCACTCACCGCCTCCAGGGCCCGCCGCAGATCTCCCAGGCAGCCCAGCAGCGCTATGGTGGTCATGCCCTCTGCCCGCGCCCTGCAGCATCAACTGTGCACAATGGAGTGTGAGGGCATAGTCTTGTCTATGCTGCCTGGCTGCCATGTCCTTGGCTGTGCTGCTCTGCGTGGGCCATGCTTAGGGGCGACTCTCCTTCAGGAGGGCTGTTGGAGAGGAGGGGATCACGAGGCTGGGGCAACAGCACGTATGCCCACAGAGAGGGCTTCGAATACCGCCTCTGGCACCCGTGCCATAGGTTCGCCACCACTGTTCTAGGATATGTTTTTATACTGCTATTGCTGCTTCTTATAGATTTCATTTATGTTACTTCCTCCTCCTGTTCTACTAGCTTGTGTTTTAAGAATTCCAATGTGTAGGAACCCTGGGTATTTCACATTGGGGGGTCCTTGATGTTCTCTGAGCTTGGTTGTTTTCTTGCAGACGTTCCATTACCTAAACTAAATAACATCATCACTGATTATGTTATTTAATTTGGGTAATGAAATGTCTGCAAGAAAGCACCAAAAAAGCTCAGACAGTACCAAGGATCTCTCATTTGAACCCTGAGCTACAAATATCCTGTCAATTCTACAATGAACCTGGCTGCAGCCATCTTGCTTGTTTTAGATTGCCACCTAAATGGGAGGGGGTGTGGAGTATCTTTGCTAGTCTGAATAATTCTATGTCCCATGGGAACCAAGGTCATTCTATTGGTTATGTTAGAGCAGGGGTGTCAAACTCGCCACATCACATGTCACAACATATTGCAACTTTTTTTTTCCATTGCCAGCAATGGGGTAGGAGTGGTTTCGCTATGACGCATCCAGCCCGTGGGCCGACATTTTGACACCCCTGTGATAGAGGGTTGAGTATATTATTAAACTATTCTATGGGGGAACGTAGATGATTTCATAGCATTGGGGTGGGAGTTTGACTTTGTAATAGTGTAACTCTTTGGAGGGAATTTCAGACTTGGTTTCATCTTTGACCTTGCCGATATTTTGTATCCAATAAACTTGTGCTTTGAGGAAGCTTCTAGCCTGGGAGTTCTGATTTATTTGGTTCTATCTATCAGGACCATGACATGTTCTTCTTTATTGGTATTTCATATTATACAAAATAGGGATTATATACTTTTATAGTACCCTAGTCTAAAAGATGTAAACCTTTTTGGGACCCAAATCACCCTGGGGGCTCCTGCCGCTACTTTATTAAAGAAAGAAAAAAAGGAGGTGTTGGCAGCTGTATTGGCAGACCTGTTCCATTTCATCTCTTTTGGCCAATGTACACAATAAAACAGAAAAAGCCAGCTTGCTGATGGAGAAAGGAGAGATTGGACAGTGTGGAACAGAGAAGTCACACACACACATACACAGATAGGACAGCATTATGTATTGTTTAGTATAATAACAGTGTGAATGAAAACCAATAGAGTTTATTCTTAACCCAACAGAGGGGGTTGTGTAGGTGGAATATTGATTTATTTTAGTTATTTTATCCCTCCTTTATTATTTCTATGAATAATTCAAGGTGGCAAACGTGCCTAATGCTGCTTCCTCCTCTTTCTCTATTTTCCCCACCACAAGCCTGTCAGGTGGATATGACTGAGACAGAGGATGACTGGCTCAAAGTCACTCATCCAGCTTTCATGCCTAAGAAGGGACTAGAACTCACAGCCTTCTGGTTTCTAGTCTTGTGCCTTAACCACTAGACCAGTGGTGGCGAACCTATGGCACGAGTGCCAGAGGCGGCACTCAGAGCCCTCTCTGTGGGCACACACACCATTGCCCCAGCCCTGCCTCCCCCCCGCAGCCCCCTCCTCACCAGCAGCCCCTCCGGAGGAGAGCCAACCCCGGGTGCAGCCCACTTGGAGCAGTGCAGCCAAGCACATGGCACCTGGGCAGCAGAGGATGCTGCAGGGCATGGGCAGAGGGTGTGGCCACCATGGCACTGCAGGGCCACCTGGGCGATCTGCGGTAGCCGTGGATGGCCCTACGGGTGGGCAGGGGTGGATGGGCAGAGCGGGGGCAGGCTGGGGGTGGGCCAGTTTTTGGGCACTCGGTCTCTAAAAGGTTCGCCATCACTGCACTAGACCAAACTGGCTCTCAGTTAAATCTCTGATTTATTTTTAAAAAATCATGCAGAAATTGGGGGAGTCTGGCATGGGAAAGACAACATTTGCAGTCACCTTATGAACAAAAGGTATGCAATGCAATATGAGGACAAAGGTAGGATAAATACGTGCTTTAACAAAGTTCTTCCAGGATGAACACTAAGATGCCAACAGAGTAGTGACTATATACCATTAAAAGCCAGAGGAAGGGAAAATGCATGGATTTACTTGCACATGTCTCTGTGGTACATAATATACTTGCTTGACAAATCTGGAGATCAAAGTCCGTTATTAAATCTAAGTAGTGACCCCATTTAGGCATCGTTAAAGGAACAAAAGCTTCTTATTCTAAAGGAACATCCGAAGGTCATAACTGGTGTGTCAGTTGCAACTCTTCCTCAAAGGGAAAGCTTTGTTTACAGTCACTCAGTCATTAGTCACCACTCAATTGGACTATAGGTAGTCCTTGACTTACAACCTTTTGTTTAGTGACCATTCAAACTTACAGTGGCACTGAAAAAAGTGACTAATGACTGTCTTTCATATTTACATTCCCATCAGAAACTAGATTTAAAAAAGGAAGGGGAGGATTGGAACAAAACAGTAACAACTGTAATAACAATTGTTGCTACATCTCTCAGGAATACATATAATAAAGACATTGTAAGGTGGTGGGAAGTTAGTTTTTTATATATCCAATCTTTATTACATTTGCAATGCTATTGCAGAGTTTCATCCTTCACTTCTGTAATCCCTAAGTAGGCCATAGCTGTTGTCTTCTTGCCTGAAACTACAATTGTGGGCAGAAAAGTAATTAAAGTGAATAAGGAAAATATTGGATTGCTCTTGCACAAATGTTGTAAACAAGAAAGAATTGCAGAGAGCCGGAGTAATGCAGCACTTAAGGTGCTGTATTAGGAGCAGAGAAACCAGGCCAGAAAGGATTTAAGCCCCCTCCACACTCTCTTTCAATCTAACCTGCAAAAAAGGCTTATTACTTTGGGGGGAAAAAATGGGAGCGGGAATGCTACCTATGTTGACCTGAATTTGTAGAGGCCAGGTGAAATATACTGTAAACCCAACCAATAGTCTTCCTATAAATTAAGATAGCTATTGGGATTGCAGTATTTGTGTATGAGCTTTTCATGTTTGTGGTTTGATTCTGTTGGTTCTGTTTTAAATTTGGGAATGTAAATAAATATACTTTGTTCAGTCAAGCACCATTGTTCCTCATAAGTAAAGGTTGCATCTATAAACATCATAGTTTTACACTCATTTTCCTTGTTGGGAAGATTGGTTCCTGACGAGACAAGAAGATTTCCATTATAGAGGTCTGAGCAGGAGGCTTAACAGTTTATTTATTTATGAGACTTATATACCGCTTTAAGTGCAAGCACTCTCTAAGTGGTGTACACCAGTAAGCAATGTATATATATATTTACATTGTCCCCAACAATCTGGGTCCTCATTTTACCTACCTCGGAAGGATGGAAGGCTGAGTCAACCTTGAGCCGGTGAGATTTGAACCGCTGACCTGCTGAACACAGTCAGCTAAAGTGGCCTGCAGTACTGCACTCTAACTGCTGCGCCACCTCAGTTGATGAGATTGCCGGGAACACTGGCACTGTTGTGTTCTTGACTGCACTCAGTCTGTGGTGATCTTGAGGAGGAACATTTGCTTTGTCTGTTCATGGAAAGAAAGATAATTATTACCCATGATTTGAAGCGGCTTTAATAATCATGAAGGGATATAAGCTCTTGTTTTGATTGCATGATGAACCTGAATGAGTCAGCTCTGGTCTGTTCAACTGGAGATTGGTAGACGTCTGAGAATACAGTCAATAAAGCATTAGATATGGAAGATATAAATATATACAGATATAGATAATGAAGTATAAGCTATAGAACAGACATGTCAAACTCGCGACGTCACGTGATGTCATGTGATGTATTGGGACTGTTTTGCCATTGCCGGCAATAGGGTAGGCGCGACTTCTGCGTGATGCGTCCGGCCTGCCGGCCAGCAGTTTCACACCCCTGCTATACAAGGTAAGTCACAGATGATTGGTTACTGGAGCTTTTGCTTGCTCTCTTGTTGCCTTGTACAAGTAGTCCTCAACTTACAACAGTTTGTTTAATGACTGTTCAAAGTTACATCACTGAAAAAAGTGACTTATGACCATTTTTCACACTTATGATTATTGCAGCATCCCTGTGGTCATGTGATCAAAATATGGACGCTTGGCCACTCTTATTTATGACGGTTCCATTGTTCTGGAGTCGTGTGATCACCTTTTGTGACCTTCTGACAAGCAAAGTCAATGGGGAGGCCAGATTCACTGGCAAGAAGGGTTGCAAAATGGGGCAAAACTCACTTAACCAATGTTTCACTTAGCAACAGAAATTTTGGGCTCAGTTGTGGTCATACGTCAAGGACCACCTGTGGTAGCTTGCCCAAGATCTTTGGATTGGCTCACAGCTATGCACTAAAATTTATGCCTACTTCATATCAGGCATCAAAGATGGAGAACCTATGGCTGTCTAGAGGGGAGATACTAGCTGTATTTCAATAATAGCTGAGTCATGAAAGAGTTTCAAAATTCTGATTGAAATAACATTCTGTAGTTAGAAATGGGTTGTTTAGGTACTAATATGGAACACCTCTCCAACCAACATTAAAATAACCAAAACGATCAATCGACTAGCATAGACAGATCAATCTGATGGAAATAACAAGGACACCAGACAATGGCTGTGTTTGCACAACATGCTGAATCACAGATTTTGTTTGGCTAATGCTTTCAAACAGGAAAACACTGAAAACAACCTAAAAGCAATTCTAAAACTTCCAGTTATTTCAATATTTCAGTATCTTCCATCAGAATTACTATTGCTTTCAAGCTGTGAATGGCCATTTTTATGTGTAATATGACTGTGTCCACTTTGAAAATAATTGGGAAGAAACACTTCTGCATGAGTCTGAAAAATACAGTGGCTACTTTAAGGAATTGCAAAAGCCTGAAAAAAAATTAGCCTGTTGTGATAAAGAGTACAGAGGAAATATGCTTGACCATATCTAAAGCATTCCTTCTGAATCATTTCTTTGCATAGTTCTAATAAGGAGGACCTGCCATTCGTGTAAGATTCCCCTTCAAAAATCCATTCGTAAATTCATTTCTAAGATCTATCAAGCTGGCATCTGCAAGATCTTTTTCTGCAGTAGGCTCATTGCTCTGGAATGTTTTCATGGTAATAAATATAATTTCTTGTCTGTTTTCACAATTAAAATGATTGTAAATAGGAACCTAATACACAAAATGCCAGTAATTTTATTTGTTATTGTAAAAGTTTCAAAATTTGATTGATCACCTATATTTTTAAACTGCTCAAAATGAAGCAGATGAGACTTTTCAAGGAAGGAGGAGAAAGGGATGTTTTTTTTTTTAATGTCAGTTTGAATTTACATTATTTTGTTGAATTGTGGAGATGGGTTCCCCCCCCTTTGTTTTATGTTTGAGAGGATTAGATATTTAAATATTTAAAAGATAAGGTAATCATGGTAAACCTTTTTGTGGAGCCAGAGATATAAATAAATTAATCAATTTTTCAGGCTATCATGGTCAACAGGCTGTACTTACTGATATTCTGCTTCCTCTATTACGAATTCTAATTAGATTTTAAACTCATGTAATTGAACAATTAGTTTTAGGGACTTGAGATTGATTCAGGAAACCAGAAGCCCCATGTCCCATTTCAATTCTGTACAGCTATTCATTTACCTATAAATGCTCCTAATTCCTGATTATGCTATAACCACAGCAGGTGATGGCTATTGGGAACTCAGCCCCAGGGGCACACTTGCTGATATCCTGAGAAAAATATGTTTATAATGATACCCAATTTGCTTAAATTATTTGTAAATTGAGCACCATGCTGTGCTACAAGCTTAATTTAAAAAGTACTAGCAAAAGTAATGGAGACCTTGTGAGGATTTTTAAAAGTGCATTGCAAAAATTGAGGACAGAAATTAATCTTTAAATAAGCTAAATGATGCTAAACAGTTTGAATTAAATGAACACATTAAAAAGCATTTTCAGGGACTTGCCACAAAATAATTTTAACTTACACAAGAAAACTCTCTTCAGCAACACTAGAACTAGAGGAAGTGTTATATTGAGTCTAATTGTATAGTCAACCATAGTGTACATAGTGCAACGATGTAAAAAAGATGTTGAGACTCTAGAAAGAATACAGAGAAGACCAACAAAGATGATTAGGGGACTGGAGGCTAAAACATATAAGGAACGGTTGCTAGAATTGGGTATGTCTAGTTTAATGAAGAGAAGGACAAGGGGGGGGGGACATGATAGCAGTGTTCCAATATCTCAGGGGCTGCCACAAAGAAGAGGGAGTCAAGCTATTCTCCAAAGTGCCTGAAGGCAGGACAAGAAGCAAGGGATGGAAACTAACCAAGGAGAGAAGCAACCTAGAACTAAGGAGAAACTTCCTGACAGTGAGAACAATTAATCAATGGAACAACCTGCCTCCAGAAGCAGTGAATGCTCCAACACTGGAAGTTTTTAAGAAGAGACTGGACAGCCATTTATCCGAAATGGTGTAGGGTTTCCTGCCTGAGCAGGGGGTTGGACTAGATGACCTCCAAGGTCCCTTCCAACTTTAGTACTATTACTTACTAATGGAAAGTTGGTTTTATCTCCTTTTCTTCTCCCTCCCCATTTTTGCATCTCCTAAGTCAGTGTTTCCCAAACTTGACAATTTTAAGGCATGTGGACTTCAACTCCCAGAATTCCACAGCCAGCGTTGCTGGCTGTTGAATTCTGGGAGTTGAAGTCCTCATGCCTTAAAATTGTCAAGTTTGGGAAACACTGTCCTAAGTTAAAGTATCATGAAGAGTTGCCTAGCCTAGCCTACATATTGCAGTCACACACTGCTCTAGGGAAGAGCATAAATAAATTGAGTCAGCTATAGCAGGGGTCCCCAAACCCCGGTCTGTGGACCAGTACTGGGCCACGGCATGCTAGCACCCAGTCTGACAAACAAGCAAAGCCCCATCTGCAGGATGCAGGCAGCACACAAAACCACACACCCTCCAGTCCACAGAACCGGTCCCTGGTGCCTAAAAGGTTGGGGACCTCTGAGCTGTAGTTTACTTAGCAAACCATGGCTTAGTTTATAGCATAATTGCAATTGCAGGTAGGGAATGGAAAGCTGGTCCTTCCCTCCTATCGCATCTTCCAAGCAGAAGATGCTGCTATGATGACTTCCTTAGACATTCCCAATGCTACACATGCCACTGGAGCCAGTGGTCATTTAATCAGATCACTGCCTTTTAAGAGTTGAGAAGCAGCTGACCAGCCTCCTTTAAAGAGTGTGTGGAAGTGACATCATCTATGCATTCTAGCATTTTCTATATTGCTATTAGTCTGTTACATTCAGTTTTAATATTTATTTATTAAGTTTATACGCTGCCCAATTTCCAACAAGTCTGTGATAGATATCCTTATCCAAACTAAAGTTCATAATATACCAAAACTAAATGGTTATAAGAGTAGAAAAGAAATGAAGGATCTAGAAGTAATGGTTCTTCTGCAAAACTATGCGTCTGGGAAGATATGTCTCACTATTTTTTATTGGAGTCTAGTTGACTTTCTATTTTTCACACTGACATATCCAAATGAAATATTAACAAAACAGTTGCCACATGTGTGCAACAGTCCTATGGTTTTGAAGAAGCAAAATTCCCTTTCTGGGTTAGGATGGTTGTCTTGAATCCTGCATGGAGTTAAAAAACGTAAGTTCCATTAAAGGCAATGGTTTCAGTAGCCAGTGGCTCTGTTCTCATGATATGATTAATGTAACTATAACAATTGAAATCATTGCCATAACTGATGACAAACCAGTGTGTGTGAGTTCCAGGACTCATGGACCCATGGATTAACAATAGGGTCTGCAACTGTACTATATGTTAAGATAAAATTTGATAGACTAATTCATGGCTTAATACATCATATGAACAAGGTGAAATATGTGCTGCGTCCTGACTTCCCTAATTAATATAGAACATTTATATGGCTGTCCAACTCAAACAATATGACTCTTGTTGCCATTCTCTTCATTAAATGCACAAGAGAACAATAATTAATGCCACTAAAGTAAATGAAAAGAAATAATGACAAGGATTACAATATACCTCACTAACCGGGAACTCTATTCATTTTGACCCAAGTGCCTATGGGAAAAAGCTAGGTCACAACTGCCTTTCTAAATATAAACACATATTGGGGGATTATTCCAAAAGACAGGGGCAGCCACAGAAGGGCCCTGGATGGTAACCCTCACTGCTGGAGAATATCAGATGGCAAGAAATGCTGTGAGAAGAACAGTCCAGAAAATAATCCAATGTTATGCCATGCAGGGCTTCATAAATGATAATTAGCACCTTAAATTATTCTTATGGGAGGCAGTGTAACTTTTGGCATAAATATGTTAAAGATGATAATGAAGAACATCCATAATTGCCCATTCTGCACCAGTTGAAGCTTCTGAATGTTTTCAGAATGGGTTTCAGCCCCATCTGGAGCATGTTGCAATCATTCAGTCAAGAGGGGACTAAGGCATGAGTTGCCGTGAACAGGTTACCTCAATCCAATGACAGATGCAACTGCCACCCAAAACAAAATTGTGCAAAGCCCCCCTGATCATAACCTGCTCAGCATAAAAAATTTTCATTATCCCACCTTTACTTTGTACAATTCAGAGCAGCGTACATAATACTCCTACCTCCTGTTTTCCCCATCACAGCCAACCTGCAAGGTGGGTTGGGCTGACATAATGTGACTAGCCTAAAGTCACCCGCAGGAGCACAAACACTTGTAGTCTCCTGGTTTCTAGCCAACACCTTAGTTTCTCAGCATCAGGCAGATCATCAGGATTGAAATGATTGTGCCAATGACCTATTTTGTTTTCCTGTTCCAGAGATCATTGACAGGATCTTCTGCCCTGTCTTTTGGAAAAATCCCCAGAGCATTGAATGATGTATCAGACTGACCACAGACAGCAACAGATAGAGATATTTTGATGGGTCCCTCTCCCCAGATGGTAGGGACATGCTGTAAGACTGAATTTTGTGGAATAATTATAATTTCCCCAATAATCAAGTGATGCCTTCCTGACCTGTTGTAAAAGGTAAACTAAGAACATGCCCAATTCTACCCATTAGTATGATGAGAAGTTGAGATCAGGTCATAACTGTAAAGAAAAGCCATGAAATTAGGCCTCAGCAGGAATTTTGATGTTCCACACACTGGCTTTCTCAACAACTCCATGGAAACCTCAGCCAGGGAAGATGTTGGGAAGTAGCATGGATAATATTTTAACAGTATATCCAGTTTAATATTCTAACAATATTTCCACTACCGGGTGTCAGTTCCAGCTCGGAAAGTTTTTCCAGCAAGCATATAAAAAGACAGAAAGCCAAACTAATGTCTTTGGCAGCCTTTCTATAGGGCTACAGCAGGTGTACCACTCACTTTCCAGCCTGACTCTTGTATATTAGGAAACTTGTTTTAAAAAAAAACACCTCTTCTGACATAGGAGAAAGGTGTTTTATGATAGGTAAATGGGGCTTATGGTACACATATGCTATTTATATAGATTTTTGTTTTTGCATGTGTTTGGAATATGTGGGAGAGGTTGTCGTTGTTGTTACCAACCTAGGGCCTCTGGGAATGGTTGATAAGTAAGTACAGAAAGCAAATACAGTAAACCAACCACTAAAAATATTCAGAGCATGATCTGTTTGGAAATCCAGCTCATTGGGGTTTATTCAGTATAGTATATTTAAACTATGGATTTCCAGGTTGGGAGAGGGGTAAAACAGTGAGGGGGGAGGGAGAGGGCCTAAGCTACGTACCATGTGGCCCATCCCATCTTATAGAAAATTGCCATTTAAGGTCAGTGAAAAACATTACCGGCAGCCTGAAGTAAGAGTTAGCTGTAGGCTGGTTTTGTTCCTTCGGCCTTGGCAATAAAATTCTTGGAGCCAGTCTGCCCATAAGTTGCCTGGGAACTGAGTGTTAAGCTGCTTTGAGTTCTCTGTAAAAAGGCGGATAAAAGAAACATTTTGCAATATGTGGCTTTTGCTTTGTGCTTAAGTAACCTTCAGAGATATTAACGGAATGTTTCTTGTTACACTTTGCCGTTTTACAGCTTATCATAGTTCCCTATATATGGGCATACCAACATCAAAACTGAACCCATTGAAATTCTTTGCAACTTTGTCAAACTGCACTAGCAACCCATCTTTCCCCCATGTGAATAACTGGAATTGCATACAAAATACAAATAAACGGAAACCATCACTGATATGCCCAGCTGGAGACAGAATGGATTAGTGCCAAAGCAGAGGATGGCCACTTGGCAAGGCTACTCTCTAAGAGCCTTGGAAAGACAAATTAGCTTTTTCACTTTTCTACCCTCACCTCCCCTACCCCCTTAAGATTAAAGGCTCTGTGGCTCTAAATCATGCTTCAAGCACGTTCAGTTTAAAAAATCAGTTTCCAGAAAACTTCCAAGCAAGCACAATTAATATTTTGGGCAGGTTTGGCAAATGCTAACCTGAAATTAGTGAGAAACATATAAATATGGACAGTATGTCAACAAAATACCCTTTCACTAATTTATTTTGCCTTGATGTTTTGATTTGTGTATTTATCAGGCTAAACAGACTTAGAAATCTGCTTCATATTTTATCATAGTGTTGAATAGGTGATGGCACACAGGTCTTGAATTTGCAGCTGTACTTCCAAACAGTTGCCCCACATTATGCACTTTCCTTTAAAAACAAAACATAATCAAATCTCAATGCCTTTGAATAAAACCTGTAGTCAACAAGTTGTTATGGTTCCTTTCATACAGCTATGGTTTATAGCAGTGGTGGCGAACCTATGGCATGGGTGCCAGAGGCAGCACTCGGAGCCCTCTCTGTGGGCACACATGCTTTTGCCCCAGCCTCTCCTCTCCCGCTACCCCCTCCTCTCCAGCAGCCCCCCTGAAGGAGAGTCGACACTGAGTGTGGCCCACGCGGAGCAGCACAACCAAGGACATGGCAGCCAGGCAGCATAGACAAGACTCTGACATCACACCCCATCATGCACAGTTGATTCTGCAGGGCGCGGACAGAGGGCATGACTGCCATAGCACTGCTGGGCTGCCTGGGCGATCTGTGGCGGGCCCTGGAGGCGGTGAGTGGCCCTGCGGGCAGGTGGGGTGGGGGATGGGGGCAGGGCAGGGGCAGGGGGTGGAGCAGGGGCAGGGCCAGTTTTTGGGCACTGGGTCTCTAAAAGGTTCGCCATCACTGGTTTATAGAATAAATCGCTATTAGCATTCAGACAGGCACAATTGGCATTCAGACAAATCAGCCATCAACAGACACACAAAGTTTACAATCTGCTCAAAAGAGACAATAAAAAAGCTAAGAAGGAAACAAAAAGACACATCCTCTCCAGCAGCTAAACCCAGTTAAGCAGGAATTAACACCAAGCAAATAAGCAGAAAACAATACCTGAATCAAGGAACTACTAAGGAGAAAACCAGCCCCTCCCAAACATTGGCAAGGCAAGCTATTGTACATGAAAGGGGAGAAAACTCCACACTCACTAGCACTGATGTTATCTAGATGCGTAATGAAATGTCTGCAAGCAAATAACCAAGCTCAGAGGGTGCCAAGGTCTCCACAAATCACAGTTAGTTTTAATTGATGAATATGGCTTACAAACTATGCTTGTTGGATTTACATCATATGCTGGAGCAATATTCAGGCATTGTGTAATTTTGAGTAAAATCCAGCAAACAGGTGGTGACCTCAAAGAAAAGGGTATTTTCAATACTTACCTACCCAGAGCAGCAGTCTAGGTAGAAGACTATATCTGTGCAAAGGTAAATACATTGGAAGGCATGGAATCGGGTGAGAAGTGAAATGGTGTTCTTCAATCTAGTGTTGAGACTTTAGAAAGAGTACAGAGAAGAGCAACAAAGATGATTAGGGGACTGGAGGCTAAAACATATAAGGAACAGTTGCTGGAATTGGGTATGTCTAGTTTAATGAAGAGAAGGACGTTACCCATCACTGGCCCTACAAAGGTTTTTGCAAGCCAGGCATTTGTGTGCCATTTAGCTGATGTCACATGCCTGACTTATGAGGAAGTGCCAAAGGTAAAATTGTTTACTGCTGCTGCTTATATAGTTTTAGTACTTTTCTCAATATTAGAATATGGCTGTTTTGTTGCTAGTCAACTTCTTTGTCCAATATTAGACTACTATGAGGACATTGGAGGTAGCACCTTTTTGTCCCACAGAATTCCCATTTTGAGAGCTGGAGGAAGTCCCGTGGTAAAAACTGATCTTGTCAGGATTATTGTTTATCTGCATTTCCCAGCACACTAACTTTTTTTGCCCTAGCTGTGTTCAGGAAGAAAAATTATCCCACAAACTCTGGAGATTAAAATGAACTGTATTGCAGTTGTTTGTATTGTAACAATGAGAACAACATTTGTAAGAAAATGTATGAGGAATCCCAGGAAAAAATATCATTTCTGCTATCTCTTGATTGATATGTGAGAGAGATGGGGAATAACAAACAAACATAAAGAGAGGTATTTACGGTATTTATTTGTATTCCACATTTCTAAATTTTGCTGACCATGTGTTGTTAAAAATCAAGATCTGGAATTATAGGGCTTTTTCTTCATTTTCTTTGCTTGAAACGAGACAATGTAAACACTGATTTAAGAAGCAGAATCTTTTTACTTCATACAACAGTGCTTAAATATTTTGTCCACTGCTAAGTTAAATGTGAGTCCCCTGGACTGCAAGGCATCAAACCCATCAGTCCTAGAGGAGATCAACTCTGACTGTTCTTTAGAAGGCCAGATCCTGAAGTTGAAACTCAAATACTTTGGCCACCTAATGAGAAGGAAGGACTCACTGGAGCCTAATGTGGGGAAAGATTGAGAACAATAGAAGAAGGGGACGACAGAGAATGAAGTGGCTGGGTGGAGTCACTGAAGCAGTAGGCGTGAGCTTAAATGGACTCCAGAAGATGGTAGAGGATAGGAAGATCTGGAGGAACGTTATTCATGAGGTCGCGATGGGTTAGACACGACTTTGCAACTAACAACAAGAAGAAGTTAAATGCTCTCTACCTATTTCTACCAATCCTGTCTCTCTTCCAGTTCTTCTGCTCATTGACTGCTGAATGGGGCTGTCCTGATTTTGGATGTGAAGCCAGTAACAAGCAAAAGGATTGGTTGATTCTTCTGGCTTTCCTTTCCCTTCTATTTTGCAGGACGTGCAGGGAAAACACTCACCAATTGCAGAACTGTGGCAGGAATAAAGTGGATTTCCCATCCCGTTTTTTATTTTGTCTGCTGCCCAGTTTCACTAGATAAATAGGTAGCCATATACCTGTGCTCAATAAATTAAGAAATCATATCTAAAGTTTCTGCTATGCCTTTCCTCCTACTCATAGCTTGAACTGAATGAAGTTTAAAAAACAAACAGCAAGTTGGAATCACAGAGAGCTGAGTTGCAAGCAGCACATTCATTTAAGAATTTGCTCCCTTCCTGTTTGATAGACATATGTAAATGTCAGCCTTCAGATTCCTCTGTGCTCAGTTCTGGTGGCAATGGGGTGGAGGTCAGTCTCATTATTCCTGTTTCTATTTCAGCCTTGTGTGGAACTAATAAGGACCACAGATTTAAAATATATATGGGACTGTTGACTGAGAGCTTTTGCACTGTTCTCATAAATTATTAACTGCTGCATTGTTTAGGCAGACAACAGCAATCAACAGTAGATCAAGCTGAAGAAAAAGGGATGTGCTCATATCAATCTGAAATCACTAATAAAACCACTCTCATCCCACCAGCTATTCAACATGAAACTTTGCCCTCCAACATCATGGATGCCAGAATGGAAGATTTTGTATACTTTGCAGGTGAATCTTGTCAGATGATGGGGGGAAAACATTATTTTAACAATTATATAGCTGAGGATTATTTAAAGCTGTCTCAGTCATGGTCTAGGGCAGTGATGGCGAACCTTTTAGAGACCAAGTGCCCAAACTGCAACCCAACTGCTTGGTCGGGTGCCGGGTGGTGTGGCCCATTGGGTGGGCGTAGCTGCGGTGGTAACAGCAGACTGGGTAGGACTAAAAGGTTTAATCAATCAATTCCAACTTTTCAAGATCTTTTTTTTTCCCCGCGAGAAGCTGAAATTGACTGATTGATTGAACCTTTTTTTTTTTTGTACACGGCGCGGAGGCCTAAAGCAAAAAGGTTTTATAAAACCCAGCTGAAGGCCTAGGACTGGGGTGACGGCGCATGTGCCCACAGAGAGGGCTCTGAGTGCCGCTTCTGGTGCCCGTGCCATAGGTTCGCCACCACTGGTCTAGGGCAGGGGTCCCCAACTCCTGGTCTGTGGACTGGTACCGGGCCATGGCATGCCAGCAACCGGTCCGCATAAACAAGCAAAGCCCCATCTGTGGGATGCAGGCAGCACACAAAATCATGCACTCTCCGGTCCATGAAAAAACCTTTCTCCACAGAACTGGTCCCTGGTGCCCAAAAGGTTGGGGACCTCTGGTCTAGGGACAAGCTAAAAATTAAATCATGGGAAGTGCCAAAAAAGAAGATACTATTAGATACAAATAGGGTGGGGAAAAAATCTAAATTGCAAAAATGTTGGTTTGTAAACAGCAGATTGTAGTTAGCAGTTGAGTCATGAAATTCCACCCAGCAAACAACATTTAGCTTCTATTGATCTGATGTAACTGACAAAAAATGTTTAGCCTAATTTCTTAGGATGCTTTATTCTGAATCAAAAACTCCCAGATCCTGCTCACTTTCTCTGAGAGTGAGGCTGTCTTTAGACTTGCTCCTTTTGTCTATAACTAAGGACCTACTAATAACCCTGACTGTTTACTTTCCATCAGAAAGCAAATTTACTCCCTTTGAATATTACATTGATCTCCGCACTCGTCCCCCCAGTATTTATAAATGTTCCATGAGATCACAAGAGCAAAGCCATTTTTTAAAAACATAATTAGAAAGTGCACATTATACAGAGCTACTAATGTCCTAGTGCAAGAGAATACACTGTAATGACAGATGCAGTGACACCACTCCTGAGGCAAAATATTTGCCTAAACATTATTGTCAACTTTTCCTCAAATAATTTAAAATGGGAAAGTCATCTTCATTTTGCTAAAAACATGATACACAATATGATTTTTTTCCCGTCTGATCTTTCTTTTTTGAGGAAGATGTTCGGGGTTTTCTCCCTTTGAAGTAAATTCCATTCAGATTTACCCAGATTTATGTGCTGAGGTGATCTGATGTTGAGTTAACTCTCTGTATTAAACAGTTAAGAAATATTTATTTCTAGAAACTGAGAAGGATTTGGGAATATTGATGGGACTTCTTGATAAAGGAATAATAAATATGTTGTAACTGACAAGCTCAGCCAAGGTCATAGTTTTGAATAGAACTTACAGTTCAAATAACCATTGCTTTCTTCCTCCTCTTGTTAGACCAAGAGCAACACAGACATATTTATACAGACAACATAGAATGGCGTCATCAAATCAACAGCCTGTATGTTACTGATGATTCTGGGTTTTAAGGGCAGACAAGTGTCAAGTGCTTATCTATCTGCCAAGTTCTGTGTTCCTATTTAAAAGTACTAGACTTTATTTTTGTGTGTGCTGCCAGCTGCACCTTGTAGTATTTCAAAAGGAGGATTTTGCAGTTGTATAGCTGTTTCTCCAATCAGTGAACAAGGTTTTACTTGTAGGGAAAATGCACTGCATTCATAACATACTTGCAAAGTTCTTTTTCAGTTGACTGCTTGAGTGAACAACTGATCTACTTTTTGTGCATGAGGAAAATATTGTGAGCATTTCTTATAATAATCTTCAACAAACTTAACTTTCATTTCTTTTTTTGTGTGTTCCAAAACACGTTACATCTTCATTTCATAACTTAAATCTCTCACATATATTTTTTAGAAATGTCATCCACTAGGGCACAAATGGAAGAGTATTGCATGTGGGAATGACTTGAAAGTCAGAAGGAAAAGCTGCAGACTAGACAACCATCATGCAAAAGGTACCTTCTAGCACTGATGTTATCTAGCTGGGTAATAAAATGTCTGCAAGAAAGCAACCAAGCTCAGGGAGCCTCAAGGACTTCACAAAGGAATCTCAGCCAAAAGAAGCAAAAGGATCATGTGAAGTGTCTCAGAAGAGAGACACTCCCTAATTTTCTGGAAAGCAAAAGTGCTTTCAGACTTGCAAGATTTTATCACTTTAATCTGACAATAAAGATAGGGTTGGTATTCATGGTTTGTCTTTCCTGACTGCACTACCTTCAAAGGACTGACAAGTACGGATAACTTAGAACTATAGAGCTGGTGTTAGAAAAATGAAAGCTTAGAGTGAGATGAAAGTAGCAAGAAGTTCAAAAACCAAGAGGTTTTTTAGTTATATTCAAAACATAAAGAACCAGCATGCCAGCTGCTCAGTAGAGAAGGCAAAATGCTAACAGGTAATAAAGAAAAGCCAGAACTATCCAATTCTTATTCAGTTATCTGAAAGCAGGATGAAGGGACAGAATAAGTTTGAGGTTAATAAAATTCTGGTCAAGGAATACCTCCTGACTTTGAGTTTAAATTTCCAGGCTCTGATAAATTGTATACTTGAAAACTAGCTGAAGGATAGTTTATGGTAAAACCCTTATATATTATCCTTCAGAAATCCTGCAGTGAAATACCAAATGTTATTTCTGACATTCCAAAAAGGAAAATGCCAGGGAACCAAGTAAGTGTGATGTTGATCTTGAGAAGATTCCAGAGCACATCATAAAGAGATTAGTTATAAACAACATGAAACCAATGCTATAATTATCTAGTCCTGTACAAATGTTGCTAGACCAAACTTAGCTTATTTTTTGGTCAGATCACACACATCAGGAATGCTGGGGACACAGTATGCCTTTACTTCAGCAAACATGTGATAAACTAAGTGTAAATGGAATGGCCTGACAGTCAAATGGGCATATTTTGCTTTAATGTTCCATCTATGACTTGGAGTCTTTCTCTCAGACAGCACGGGAGGATCAGCTGGCTTGCTGAACAGCATTCCAGAGGAATACATTTATTGTTTTATTATTTTAAAGTGTTTTAGGCCAGCAAGATTTCTTAAACGAGTTACTGATAATTCATGAAAACATATTTTTTTTGCATGGAGACTCTCAATCTGAAAGACATGACACAAAAGGAATAAAAAGAATAGACAAAATCTCAATACTGATAAAATTAAATATTTTACATGCAACATATATACAAATCAGAAGCAGTAAGGGCTAGTAGAATAGTTTTCTGAGCAGTTTAACATTGCTATGCAATAGTAAGAATATATAAGATAATGTTGCATAAGTAATATTCAAGTATAAGTCATGTTGAGATTGAAGACACATTTTTAAATAAATGTGCAAAAGAGTGTAGCAGAAGGAAAGATGGATGAAATAGTGATTTAATTGAAAGATTTAAAATTTCCTATCACAGAAAGGAAAACTATCACCAGATTAAGGAAAAATATAAACATTTTTTCTCTTTTTCTAGCTGGGAAATATGTGATCTCATGATGTTTTTGTGATATCACTCAGCCCAATATTGTTACATCACCAAGGCCAACCTTTTGAAATTGAGGTTTTATGCTCTTGCTAAATCTGTGGTCAACAAAAGCTAACTCCAAATAGTCAGGTTATAAACAGTTCATTGTTTAATATATCACAAATGAATAAGGTATGCACAATTAAATATAAATGCTTGTGGGCCCATAAGACTCATGACCCTGCAGTCCAAATCCTAGTGGCTACTATATTTAAGTCATTGAGGCCAATTCCATACTCAGTACAGGAATTCAGATTAAAGCAGCCTGCCTGATAGTGAATAGAACAGAACAGAATAACAGAGTTGGAAGGGACCTTGGAGGTCTTCTAGTCCAACCCCCTGCTCAGGCAGGAAACTGTATACCATTTCAGACAAACGGTTGTCCAATCTCTTCTTAAAAATTTCCCGTTGTGAAGCCTTAACTTGTATATACTCAATGGAGTCCCCCACTTCTCTAGATATTTGATGCCACTTCCATAATTTGGTGCTTGCTTCCCTTCTGTTTAAGAAAAAAGCTGAAGGCATCTAGTCCACATTCAGAGCAGCATCTCTATTTCTTTTGTAAGAAATATGGTGGTAGGCACTCGGTTTAAATCTTTTGTCCACCAGTAAACGTTTGCTTATAGAAGTGATAATGAAGAGCTAACACAAAACTGCCAATTATTCCACTATCTGATGAAATAGCAAGACAAATAATCTTTCCTCCTTTTACTAAATATAATGCATACTTCTCTCTCTCCCATACATCAAAAAACGGCTAATAATGTAATGCCGGCACAACCAAAACATGGTTTTTTTTTAAAAACTATCCAGACGTTTCCCCCAAGTTTGGAGATCAGGAAAGAAAACTAAAAAAAAAGAAAGATCCGCTCTGGAAAAATGTTTACATTTGCACATTGACAAGCTTAATTCACATCTTCAAACGGCTGCCTTTTGATAAAGCAGGTGGATAGTTTGTAATTCAGCGTCGAGACAACCCAGAATGCCGAGTGACAATTTCTGAACAATTCTTTGGGAGTAATTTACGGATGGAGAAAGTTACTAAAGAAGAGTTGTCGCGTATTTTCCAACCATCGCCAGGGAGACAATGAATCGACGGCAACGCGAAGCACAACGTCCCTTTTTAATCACCGCAGCCAACCCTTCCCTTCCCACAGCCGGTTAGAACCTCGAAGGAATTACGGTACCAACTCGCGGCTCCCACCTGAAACCCCGCCTTCCTCTGCGCACGCGCAGCATCACCTCGCCCACCCTTCCATATTACTGTACTCCTTTTAACCCGTTCCCTTCGCGTGCCCCTTCTTCGGTATTGTGACGCAAATGATTCCCACCCATTTTTTCTAATTCACGCCTCCTCGACCGCCGCCGCCGCCGCCGCCCTCGTCTTTTCTCTCACCCCCGCCTTCGCTCGCTCGCTCGCGCTCTTGGCCGTTTCCTGCTTTGGAGCGCGTCGAGCGTTGTGCGCTTCCGTCCCAGTCCCTCCCCCTCTCCTCCTCCTCCTCCCCTCAGTCCCTTTCTTTCTCGCGTGTCAGGCGGCGGTGGCGGCGGCGCGGCTCCCTTGCCGAAGCGAGAGGGCTCGAAGGGGGAGTGAGCCACGGTGGGAGGCCCCGGCGCCTGGCCCGTTTCGAAAGCCCAGGGGGCGGCGGCGGCGGCGGTTTGGCAGTTAGGCGAGTTCGGTGTTCCGTTCCCCTTAAATTCGTTAGCTCGCCGCGGCGGCAAGATGAGTATCGAGATCCCGCCGGGTTTGTCGGAGCTGCTGCAGGGCTACACCGTGGAGGTGTTGCGGCGTCGGCCGCCGGATCTCCTGGACTTCGCCGCCGAATACTTCAGTCGCCTGCGGGATTCTCGCGACCAGCAGCTGCGCGAGGAGGCGGCCGCCAGGGGCAAAGGAGTCAACTTCGACGGGGAGCCTATGCAGACGGAGTCAAACGGCGAAGAGTCGCGGAGGGAAGCGTCCGAGGAGGACACCGATTCCGACTTCGAGCGTGAGTTGCAGCCAGGAGGGGCTGGGTGGGCCCGGTCAAGGGCGGCCGGAGGGGCGGGGGTCTCTCCACGCGCTCCCGCTTGGCTGCGCAACCTTTTCTCCCTTTCTTCTTGGCGGAGAGGATTTGAAGATCCTCACGTGCGGAGGACTTTCCTTTCCTTTTTTTTTTTTTTTTTTTTTTGCACGCGGGTTTCTCGCGCTCTCCACCAGCCCCGGCGGCTCTAGGTTTAGGATGGAGCCCCGGCGGGTCATCAGCCGCCGGTTTTACTTCCAACCCGTCGTGCGAACGTGGAGAGCGGAGAAAAGAGAGAGAGAGAGAGCTCTCCGCTGTGCAAAATCCTCCCTGCTCTCCCTAAGGAACAGTGGGAGGCAAGGTATAAATTTACCAGGTTAATGTAGCAGTGGTGATTGATGCCAGAACATTGTTTGCGGGTATGGGGGTGTGTGTGTGTATGGGTGTGTGTGATTTGAATGCGGGAAAAGTAGGTGTGACCTTGTGAATGGAGATCCTTAGTGGGTTTGCTTGTTTGCTCCCCTCTTTCGGTTTGACATGGAGATGGCTTTGTGGGCGGGGGAAATAATAGCTGGATAATTTCAAATTTTACTTACTCTCCTGTCTCACTTCAATATGACTGAGCGACTGTTGCCTTAGGTATGTAGATGACTTTTGAATGAAAATCTTTTTACTCGTTTTTCGCCTCAATTTTTTAAAAAAGAGAGCCAGCTGGGGGAAAAAAGGTTTCATGATTAAAGTGAATGGTAGGGGAGGCCTGAAGGGGCATTAAATTTACTGTTCGTTGTGATTTTAAGAGTTGGGCAGCCTTTTCAGTGTCCAGGTTTTTTTTGGGTGGGTGGGTGTAATCAGCTGTATTGAGAAGAGAATAGAGAGTGCTTGTAAGGTTAGAACACAGCAATTTATGACTAGTAGTTTGTTTTAAAATAGTATATAGGAAGGAGGGAGGAAATTATTGGAAAATATCTTGGATGATACCATCCTCCCTTCGTAAAGGAATTTCTTGAAGATTCTTCTCTCTAGTTTTTGTTTTAAATCTGTCCATATTCTATAGTGTTTTTTCTTTCACACAGCAGCTTCTTACATGTTAGCCAATCTTTTTGATCCTCTATTTAAAAGAATATTTAGAGAATGTATCCTGTATTGTCTCAATGTTTTATTTACAACATATTTTATGCTTAATGGTAAGCAATGAAAAATATTTTTAAAACTCATTTGTAAACTCAATAGCTATTTGCATATTCTAGGTTTAGAGGAAAAATTGGATTAGTTGATGTTCAAAATTGTCCAAAGGATCTTGCCAAAGTGTGGATTAATTATCTCATAATTGGAATATGATATAAGTAGCTAATTTACAGAGCAAGCAGTTTAAAAATATTCTGAGTACAGGGACCAGAGAATATACCATAATATATCAGGATTCCATTACCCAGTTCAACTCCTGTTGGGGAACATTTAAAAAAACCTTAGAATTAAGTGCTGTCAATGTTGACAGACACAATATTCTATTTTTGTAAGTGTCAAAAATAAAGCTACTATTTGAAAACCTTAGTGATAGAATAGTTACTGTCTAACCTTGTACATGTTAATTGAGAGGTAAGGCCCGCTAAATTCAGTGAATGCTTACAGCTTTCTTGATCCCCTTTCCCTGGTTGGTAAGTTATGTGTTATGTACTGTATATAAATGAGTTAATAAGTTCCTAAGTTTAGCATATAACAATCAGGGAAGAGGAAGTTTTCAGAGAAATGGATATTTTGAATTGTATCTTTGTAACTGAAATGGTGATGAGATACTTTTCCTGAGATGGGAAGCAGGAAAGACACAGTTAAAAAACTGTTTTTATATAGTGTGTGAGAGGGAGAGCAAAAGTGAACAGAAATGGAATGCTGTGCATTATGGGGAAATTCTTCACTTTCTAACTGGTAAAATATTGGTAGGGCTTTTTGTAGCAAAGTTTCATTTCTAAAGACCAGAAATTAAGGCAACATGTAATATGTAATGTGATTTACACAAATTTTAAAAATGCAAATTAGTGGCAAGGTCTTATTAGGCATAGCAAATATTAAACAGAACTAATATTAAATTAAATCTTTCTGTTAAATATGGAAAAGCCATGATACACTTTTTCAGTTCTGTATCTGTTTAGTGGATCTGGATTGTTCTTTTACCTCCAAACCGGACTTCTAATAAAGTTAATGAATTAATATATTCTCTGAATTCAGAAATAGTTACATTTATCATTATGAATGAGAGTGACTAATTGAAATAAAATATAGAGAAAACATTAGATCAGTTATTAACAATAATAACTTAGAACCTTAGTAGTTAAATAGCTTCAAATGCTATTTAGATGATCGAGGATATAATCAGAATGTTTTCCTAGATAATTTGTAAAATATTTATGGTAAAATAAAACTTTGCTGTGAGCCTTTAAAGAGTTTTATCCATTAAATTAAACATTGCCTAGAAAAGCAAATGCATTTATAGAGCATGCCTTAGTTTTAATTTGTTTAGGAAAGACCAATTTGGAAAAGGAAACAAAAATACAGAGCTTCCTAGAAACTGTTAAAATAACAACATAGAGTGATTGGAGTAGAATGGTAAATCTCTTTGATGCCTCAGTGTACCGACTGATAGCGCGTAAACAGCAGCAGTTGGTGTACGGTAATTAAAAAAAATTCTGTCTGTTAACCATGTTAAGGCAATGATTCAGAACATACTTGTTGGGAAGGAAGATTCATTGAAATAGAACAATTTTGACAAAAAATTGTTGGAGTAAGCTGCTGAAACACTTAACAGTGATTTTACAGAGTCTCTTGAGTGTTAAGACGTTTAACATAATTCAGTGTTCTCTTTTAATTTGACATAGCTTTTTGTGAAAACTCATTGAAATAGCCAGAAAAACCACGATGTTGCTATATTAAATGTCACAGTACAAGAGTAAAATGGTTAATATATCTTATTATGTTTGCTATTATCGTTATAAAGGTAAGTTCTCTATTGAATTGAGCACAAATTACATGGATTATTGAAAAGAGGATTAAAATATGGGGAAAGAGTGGTAACTGGCCAGACTGGATTATAACTCCCTTATGATGTGAATTTGAGTCAGGTGGGATACAGATATTGATGAAGTACAGTAATCAACCATTTTTATGCTGGAAATTGGAGATAAGCAACTTTTAGAGGGGCACAAATGTGCATTAGGGATAAAAGATGTAATTCTGAAGGATATTTGATTGGAAAGAATAATTTATTTTGGTAGTACTACAGTCCTAGGATTCAAAAGATATGATAGTCCTATTGCTGACAAAATAATATAATCCTGGTTATCTTTGGCACATGATAAATTCTGAACAGTGTTTAGTCTACTTTTACTTTTATGGAATTTGATATATTTTGTCAAGCATGATTAGGAGATAGTCCAAAAGCCAAAGAACATCACTTTTTCACACTATGATTCTATGGTATAAGAGTTTTTAATACCATAGTTTTAAAATATAGTTTAAAATATATTTTAATCAAAAGCTCTATAATATAGATGTGTTGCTCTCTGGGTGCTTTTCTTTTTCACTTGTGTTCTTTTGATTGCAATATGCCCCTCTTTATCCTTCAAGTAATAGCATTCTAAGCAGATACATTTTAATTTTTTCATTGTAGTCATAAATAATTTCTAGAGTGGCAGTTATATTTCTTCTTCCAGAATCCCAGAAGTAGGATGAAATGTTATTAACTTTGCTGGAGTTCCCTACGATAATTATGTTATGATTTTATCCTTGTTATTGTGTGTTAAAAGTAAATGTTCATATCATGTAGTTTGTAACTGTTGAACATTGTAACTGAACTTGCAGCTGTATATTTTATAGCTGATTAGTTTATTTTGAAATAGTGTTTGCTTGGGTATTCATTTTATTACAAAACTGATGCTTTGAGTATTTTTTGTTCTCTGGTTTATTCATCTATTCCTATGCTAAATGTGATAAAGTCTTACATCAATAGTAATATATTTGATATCTGCTTCTTAAAATATATTAGATAAGATAACCAGTTGACAGTTGGGTGAAGTTGTGCTAGGTCTGAATACCTGCAGACTTCAAGATTTCCTGATGAAGTAGAAAATCAGCATTGCTCATTTTTTGTCTAAAACTCAAGTGATGTTATACAATACTGAAATGTAGCAGTATATGTAGGCATATAGTAAAACTTTCAAATGTTACTATATGCATAATACAGTGTCAGCAAAAGTGAAAGAGAAGGAAAATAATCTTTTCCTGCTAAAAAAAGTTTTGCTTACAGTGATTGTGGGTTGCCAGTCAATGTTATCAAATTTGATGTCACTAGTTTATCAGATACCAGTTAGAGAAATGGTCCTTGTATAATGTGATAAATTACAAGGATATCCAGAGTATCATATATTTATATATATATATATATATATATATATATATATATATATATATATATATATATATAAATATTTCCAATTAACCGAAGTTCCTCAGTTTTTCCTGAGTACTGTAATTGTTTCCTTGCTTTTTCATATATTAAGAAATTTGAAGAAACATTAAAATTCTAGAATGCAGTGGAGTTTATACTCATGATAAAATAGGATTTGCTTTCTTCTAATGGGAACATTGACTACAATACTGAAGAAAGCAAATAGAGGGAGGAAATAATAGAAATGCATTCCTGCTTTTTAATATCTGTATGCAGTTGCTGGATATGCCCGTTGGTGGTTTTGGTTTGGAGGAGAGAGACAAACTTACAGAAAATCAATCTTAGCATGATTGAGTGGTTGTGATTATAGACATACTCTGACTCAAGATAAGTACAATATTAAGTACAATAAGTACAACTGGCTTACAACTTGGGTGTCTCCTGGACTTGCAGCTTTTATTTGAGTTGCAGATGAAAACTATGGCAAGGAGAAGCTTCTGTTTGAGCTGCAGGTGGAAACTGGCAAGGAATTATCTTTTTTGCATCAGGA